ATCTAATAAAAATATTTCATCCAAAACGATTCCTACGCCGTCTAAATCTAAAATTTATCTTATTAATTTATAATATGATACAATATTTTGATAACGAAAATAACGTGTAGCATATTTTTTTTATCGTTCTATATAACATATGGAAAATAAATCCAATGAAAATAAACGATAGAATGCATTTATCTTAAAAATTGAACGCGTAACATGATTATATATTCCGAGTTATGAAATGCAATTAGAGCATCGCGTAGATGATAAGTGATAATTTATGCATACAAACGTTATCACAGACGTTATCACGAACAAAATTTTAAATTGCGACAATAGCGGTCACTTTTTGCAAATATCTCGAAAATTGAAGAAGCCGAGATTGGTGAAGAGAAAAGTTGGTAAAAATGATGTCCTTCGTTTTCAATTATCATTAAAATCGACGAGGGGAAGATGTTTCATTCAAAATAATTTTGATATAGTAAATGATATAGTAAATATAATAAATGAGGAATATAAATTTACATGTACATCCGTGAAGTTATTCATTTTTATTGCAATTTTTGGTTATTAAATGATTTGATCGTGTTCGAAAGGTGATACGTTGATATTCTTCTTTTATAATTTTAATTCAATTACTTAATATATATATATATCTAATCTAAAGTGATTCATGAAATATATGATTCGTTTCTAATTTTAATCATCGCGATTAAAATCTTTATTTCCTATAAAGTCCACGGGAATTTTGCCGCTGTAAAATTATTAAAAATATTCCACGGAATTCCACCAATTGGAATTGAAAATCGAATCTAATCGAAGAAACCTGTTCAATATTTTATTGGATTACGTCAGATGTGATTATATTTTTTTTCTGTAACAGATGATGTACTCGAACCAACGTGTTCTATGCGTTATCGAGAAAAAAACCAAGATTTAAACAGCGTATGAATGAATCATCTACGCAATGACAGTGACGAACTGAATTCGATTTTCACGAATGACGTAAAATTACGCAAAATCTTTCGTATATATACGAAAGTTTCCTATACGAAAACATTCTTTTTATCGTTAAAAAAAGAAAAACAAAAGAATTTATTTCTAGAATTTTAATTTAGCATTTTTTCGGATTGATTTTAATCGTACGTTACGATTGATCGATTTAAATAAAAAGGAAGAAAACTAAATTATGTTTTTTCTATTTTTAATTTGATTCTGCATAAATAATATCTCGTAACTTTGGTGAAAATTAATTTTATATCGATCAAAATGATAATTCTCAAGCCGATTTATCTTGTCTTTTAAAAAATTTGTCGATCAAATTCAGATTTTAAGATTTTTACTATGTTTATCGATTATGTATGTTTCCTGTTATTTATCCCTATATTCGTATTTCGTTCTGTTCTATTGGTCAATTTTTAGTCACGTGATCAGCGCGCAAACACTACAATACAAAGCGTACTTTTTCTTCGGATGTTTTAAATTCAGACGGTATTTCCAGAAATTTTTGAATAAGTCGTCCTGTTTATCGCGTCTACGGATATCACTCATATGAATTTGTTCGAGTTGTTTCTTTATTTACCACCGCTTCGACGAAAAGAGAAAGAAAAAGTAGAAATGGAACGCACAAGCCATTGTCAGATTATTTAAAATTCGCTTCATTTTCGCTCGAGTCGCATAAAGGAAAACAATATTTTTTTTTTTTTTTTTAATAATATATCAAAATCATTTTCATTCATCCAATTTGGAAGAAATAAAGATAGGAATAAAAAAAAAGAAAAAGAAAATTACGAACAAAAATTCAAGAAAAATATGAATCTGTATGCATCTCTTGTATGAATGTTCAAATGAAATGTCCGTCCATTTAAAATATTTAAAAAAAGAATAAAAGAGGGAAGGAAATAAAAAGGTGGAAAAATAAAAGGATGAAAATAAAAGGATGATAAGATAAATGAAAAGAATTTAAGGAGATTATAAACAAATCTGTTTTTGGAAGTGATAAAAGTTGAACCCGAACGATGGTGCATCGATCAATGAATTAATCATCGGATAAAGACTTCTCTGATTCACACGAGTTATTCTTGCATCATTGTATATATTAATCGATGCTATTCCGAATCAATTGATTGCAAGAAGAATGAACAGCTCTGCTAGAACGTAAGAAACGTGATTTATAAAATAAGAAAGAATAAGGAAAAATTATCGAGGAATCCCCGTATAGTTGGTTTAAATCTGGAATATGGAGGGGAGGTAATCTAGCGTATTAAAGTGGAAAGATTGGAATAGAATCGAAGAAGTTTATGATATTTAAAAAGAGAAGAAAAAGGAATCGTAATTTTTTCCTCTAATTTATAAATTTTTTTTTTCGTTCCAATTCTTCAAATTTTCTTAATTTTCTCAATTCAAATTTTAATTTTAATCGATATATAGTATACATATATATATATGAAATAAAATTATTCTCATCATTATCTCATACAGAGATAAATAATTTTTCGACACCTGCGGAGCTGTAAATTTGGATCATGGATTCATTGAACTACTTATCACTTCAGACACATAAAAATAACAATGTTTCAATATACATATAATATAGATTACAAAGTTCACAGTCGACATAATCCAGAATCGGAAATATTTGCTGCAACGGCAAAAAAAAAAAAAGATTATAAATGTTAGAACTTAACCTATGGGATTGCATCACAATCGTGTTATTTAGAATCGAGGAGAATGAGTTCGGAGACAACGTTTCACCTATTCGTAACTCCGCATTCCAACTCCGACATATTACGCGTGAATGATGGATTTCGAACTAATTTATAAATCATTCAACAGATTCTTCAATTGTGTAAATTTCATTTATCATGTGGAAAATATACAAAGGGAAATATACAGAAATTGCGGCGTAATCAATTGTCTTTTTCTTCTTCTTCTTCTTCTTCTCTTTTTTTTCTTTTTCTACAAGAATTTCATCAGATAATCGAGAATTTACCTTTGGAACGGAAAACTCCGGTTGCAATCAGATCTGTAACTAATGCTGTTTCACGATTATTACACGATCGAAAACACGTTGAAGTGCGTTGAAGCCGTAAGATAAATGAATAATTTTATCGTTCTATATCAACTATCAAGATCGCTGAATTTCTTTCATTTTTTTTTTTTCTTCGTCCATCGAATTCGATATATCGATCGAAAAATTATAGAATAAACGAGACAACAAATCGTCCAAATTGTTATTAAACGTACAATTATATTCGATTAAAAATTTCGTTTCGATCAATCGTCTCTTCTGAAATATATATAATTTTTAATGATTAGTAAAATTTTTTGTGTAAATCGCACTCGTGTCGAACAATTTTTAACGTATTATTAAATTTAATATAAATTTAATAATAATTTTTAACGTAATTTGTTAAATGGCCGAGGAGGACGTAAAAATTCGTTTCGATCAATCGTCTCTTCTAAAATATATATAATTTTTAATGATTAGTAAAATTTTTTGTGTAAATCGCACTCGTGTCGAACAATTTTTAACGTATTATTAAATTTAATATAAATTTAATAATAATTTTTAACGTAATTTGTTAAATGGCCGAGGAGGACGTAAAAATTCGTTTCGATCAATCGTCTTTTTTGAAATATATATAATTTTTAATGATTAGTAAAATTTTTTGTGTAAATCGCACTCGTGTCGAACAATTTTTAAATTTTTAAATTTAATGTAAATTTAATAATAATTTTTAACGTAATTTGTTAAATGGCCGAGGAGGACGTAAAAATTCGTTTCGATCAATCGTCTCTTCTAAAATATATATAATTTTTAATGATTAGTAAAATTTTTTGTGTAGATCGCACTCGTGTCGAACAATTTTTAAATTTTTAAATTTAATGTAAATTTAATAATAATTTTTAACGTAATTTGTTAAATGGCCGAGGAGGACGTAAAAGTTCGCTTTTCTCGAATGCACGGCTCAAACTCGAACGCGCGTCACCGACCAAACTTTCTATATTCCGAGTATCGCCGATTTTAGGCTTTTCTCTGAACCAACAAACAGATTTAAAACTAAATCTATTCGATGATTCATCCATCGAGCGAAATCTCAAACTAAATCTTCTATTTCCTTAGACCAGGAATAAAGATCCTATTGCACAATTAATTAGAGGTGGTATTATTCAAAAATTCTTCCAATTGACGGGTTGTAATTTAAAGATATACTAAAATATATATCTTTTGGGAAATATAATTATTTTATGGAATGCTATCGATTTCTTTGGTTATAATAAATAAATAAATAGAAGAGAAGATACTTTTTTACTAGCTATTACACGTACATTTAATTTTACTTATTCTACTTATTTTCTCAATTTGATCTTCTGAGATTACTTTTACACACCTTCTATCACATCTATTTCCATTCCATCCAAACTCATCAAAGATTCGTCTCCAAATCTCACGTACATATATATCCAAATATACAACATCCTACCCTCCACTTTTTTTTGTTCTCGAGGAAAAACGCAAGAATAAAAAGAAGCGTTTCTAACTTTTCTTCTAATTAAAAAAAAAAAAAAAGAAAGAAATTCCACCGTTAATAACCGATCCAAACCTGTCCATATACGTATACCCATCCAAATAAACATCTTCGATTTCCATATACATAAACGAGAATACTTCGTAGAAATACTGAAACACCGAACGAGATGGAAAAATTTCAAGACCTCTAGACCCGATAAATCACGCGTTTCTAAAGTATCGAAAAAATCGCGGCAATCCCCGAAAAAAAAATTCAGAACGGACTTGGGCCACGTTCACGTGGTTGCACCGTGATCGAAGCCTCCCGCCTCCCGCGAATCCGCGAAGCTGTTTCGAAAAAAAAAGGTTGATTTCAAAGTCCTCTCCATTTTTCTTTTTTTTTTTTTTTTTTTTTGCTTTCCCCCTTCTAATTCCCCCCTTCTTTCCATTCCTCGTTTCGTTTCCAACCAACGTGGACGGAAGCGTGGAAAAAAAAAAGAAGAAGAAGAGGAAGGGGGGAAAAAGGTGGGTCGAGGGAAAAGGGTCGCGATTCTGGGAAAGAAACGCGAGGGAGGATTGGGAGGGATCGAGAGGGGGTATACGGTGGAGGGGCGAAGCCGGTACTCTTCTTCGCGTATATATGCGGGCGAAGAAGAGCTACGTTACAGTTCACAGAGACAAAAGCGACATAAGACTAGATCGTATCGATAAGAGAGAGAGAGAGAGAGAGAGAGCTGAGTGGTCAGAGAGACAAGATCGTGTCCTATCCTTCGAATATCTGTGAACGAGTTTGTGAACAAGTGGATATAGAGGAAGATAGGGCGCGTATCGAGACTAAGAGGATCGTGCATTTTTTTTTTTTTTTTGGGGCTAAGAAATTATTTGGTATTTTCCTCGAGGAAAAGAGAATGGGTTTGTTCATCACGTTGCTCGTGTTGTGCGCTCTAAACGTGATTCTGATGCCGAATACGATTTACGCCAGACCACCCTCCTTGCTTAGGTGAGTGCAGTTTGTTAGATCTTTTTATTCGTCCCGTGATTTTATTTCCTGCTTTCCACCCTCTTCGATATTTCTTTCGAATATACATGTTAAGTAAAATTTTCATGCTGAACTTACGCATCTCACGAATCAAAAATCGAAAAAGTTCAAAAGATCGTTTCAAGGTTATGATATCAAGATTTTAATCTTCCAAGTTTAATGCGCGCATTTTCCCATTGAATGAAACAAAATCCTCTCCTTTCAGGGAAAATCCCGTTTCGACGTCAAACTCGAGACGCGATCCTTATCGAGCCGGTTATCTTTATCGATTATTATTTTCGACGACTTTTATCCTATCTGTCTTCGAGATCGCTCGTTACAAGTATGTAAAAAATCGGATGCTATCCAAGCAGAATTCATCCAAGAATTTCTATTCGAATTCCATCTCTCTTTTCCACCCCTCGAGAGATTCACCTTTGTGGACACCGCGTTAGGAGAGATTAGCATATCGATTAAGGAGACAAAATTGAGGATAAACGCGGCTTATTATATCTTTATACATAGCTTCCAATATCACCTCTGCCGTGGTTTTTCTTTTTCTTCTTCTTCTTTTCCCTTTCTTTATTGGCCGATATATGAATTATCGCGTATAAGCTTAAGCATATAATCGGGAAGGGACGAGGATTAAGGTAGAAAGGAGGGATCAAAGGGATTTTTTCTTTTTTTTTTTAACATAGTTACCTCTCTTATCTCGATCGATTTTTCCAAATTTTTTAAAATTGAAAATGTACGAGAGATATTCCTCGATATCTTTTCCTTTCGTTTAATTATTCTGACTATCTCTCTTATTCTTTATTCAAGTTTTTCTTACAAGTGATCCGTCATTTCCACGCAAATTTTTCACAATATCGAGATTACAATTATATTTTCGTTTGATCTTCATTTAATTTTCGCGCTCGTGCTCGAAACTCGGCTTAATAAAAATCGTGTCACGTAAAACGGGGGAGGGGGATAAGCGAAGGGAGCGTTTAAATATTAATGATTCGGGGAAGGTGAGAAAAAAACGAGAATACACGAAACGAGGATAAACGTGCAATCTTCAAGGAGACCGTGCGACAAGAGGAATTCGCAACAGGTTGGAAATTTAAAATGGGACCGAGACCGAGACACGATGGGCGTTTTGCCAACGACGAGTTAATTAATCGGTTTACTTTCCACGAGCTCGATTCACACCAATCTCCTCGCATCTGTTATACGCGCGAAAGTTTATATTGTACTGACGTAAGTTTATAAGTAGTGACGTAACTTCCTATTATTCGCAAGTCACGATCTCATTAAGGGTAAATGATGAAAAAGAAATACGTTTCAAGTGTTTCATGTTGGTTAATTTTTTGAGAACGGTGTGAAATTTATAATTTATTTGGATTTCAAGTGGAAATTTATTATCGTTTGTTTGGATTTCAAGTAGAATTGGAAAACGTTTCATATTTTCGATTTATTTGTTTGCTTTTTCCTCCCGTCATATAGGTATTTATAAATCTGATCTATCTTGTAGATCTATTATATCTATGATTCCTTCTTTGCGCAACGATTTATCGCCCGATAATATTAGTCGACTGATAATGTTGCAAATTGCAACTTGTGTTTCACGATTGCACCAGTTTCCGTAAAATGATATGATGATATAATCGAATGAGATGTGTAAAATTTATTTATAAGTTATATATATTTGCTTGTTTTATCATTGAGTTTGTTGCCTTTATTGTGCAAGAGTATACAAATTTTATGAAATTATTAATGTTGATTGGTAATGTTCAGAAATGAAAGAGAAAGAAAGAAAATGTTGTTGATTTATTGATTAATATGTTGTTGATTTTATTGCCTTTTTTTTTTATAATTGATTCTCATTATTCTCATTATAGAAATCATCAGCATTTTTTATTTTGTAAAATATCAAATCATCATTATGTATTTCGTTATATAATTTCTCATATTATTTTTGTAATATCAAATTTTTATGATTAAAGAGATGGAATTTAGACAGAATCTTTTTGCATATCCTTTATACAAATTTTGATTCTTTTTCTATGGTCAAATTTTGCACAAATATTAATTTTAATTTTCAATATAATTCATAAATAAACTATTCTAAATTATAACAGAGATTTAATCGTACTATCCCTTTTATTTTATATATGTTTCGAAAATTTAATGCAATGAGTCATTATTTATATTTATGTGAATATTATTTATATATTATATATTAAAGTATATATTTAGTAGATCTAATAGATTTAATTTAATTACAGAAACTTTTTTTTTAATTAGAATTGCAATCGATTTTTTTATCTATTCAAATCTATTCAAATTAGATAATAACAATTATATAATAAATTATATAATAAATTTGAAAAACATTATAGAATTTTTTCATAATATTATCGATTATTATATATTTATCGAATTCATGGTTAAAAATATACATAATATACATCGATAAAGATGAAATAATGATTCTATTTTTAACTCATCTATTTTAAACCTATCAAGAATAGTAAAAAATCACGTTTCTAATCATTCCTTCATTTTCTCCTTCTTCTTATCATTTTTTCGATTTTTAATTTCTCAGATTCAATTTATCAAATTTTATAACTGAAAATGATTATCGAAATCCTCCAAATTAATATAATCACTCTTCCAATTATCCAATTAACCATTATCGATATTCCTTCTTTTTCCATTATTCTTTCTTTTTCTTTTTTTTTTAATTCATTCAAATCAAATTCAAATCAACAACAACAAAAAAAATCGTCCAAATTTAATCTTTAACTCTTCCATCATATCCGTTTCTTTCACGTTCTTCCTCTCGCCTAAATTAAAGATTTTAACTTGATCAAATTTTAGGCTAATATATATAACGATAATATAATATACCGATTATAAATAAATTATGTATACATTTTTTCATTCGCAATTTCTCTTTACGAATTTCTTCACGATCGAATAGCAATTATTTGTTAAAAATGATAATTAACTTTGATTATTTCGCGTTTTGCAGCAGGCAAAGGCGGGTATCGGATCAAATTCTCGCCGAGAGAGAGACAGATATCGGATTGGGCGAGGTGAAGGGGATAATAAAGGTGGTTCCAGTTGGATTCGGTGCGTTTGATCTACAGAGGATGTGAGTAATTACTTAACCTATCGTAATTTATTTAACGCGATCCCCTATCTCCATTGATTTATTCTTATCGGCGAATAAGTCGAAATTATCTGTGTGTCAGCGGCCTCTTTCCCGCTACGTCTGCGAATTATCGTTCGAATTGAACGAAAAATCTTGCTACAAATGAAAGTCAAAAATGAATATATACATATATATTAATTAAAAAAAAAAAAAAAAAGAAACGATAGAAAAAAATGCTAATTTTTTTTTTCTACCTTCAATTTGTATTTTTAATTCGTAATTTCTTCTCTGTAAAATATAAGATTTGTCGAAATGTATTCACTTTTTTTTAGTTTAAATTACAATATATTCGAATATCTCTAAATTTGACGAAAAATTTCCATCTATTTTTTAAATTCCTCTCTTTATCTCCAAATTCACGATATATTTCCGATAGAGGATTCGATTAAAAAATACGAAAAAGTAAAACAAAGAAATATGTTTTGATAGGAAAGGAGTTCACTTTTCCATCAATTCTCGCATTATGAAATAAATAAACAACGAAATCTTATCATTAAATTAATTATTACAAACTAACTATTAATTAAATTATTTCTCAAACGGTGTCAACGTTTCTCATAGACAAGATTCCACGAAAGAATCCTCTTTTTTATCTCATTGTCAAAACGACCATGACTCGTAAAATTTTCCCGTCTCTCCTCTTCCAAGTATGGAAGGAAGAGAGAGAAAAACTACTCGTATGAACAAATCTCGTGAAACGAACTATTAGCCTAGATTCTTACCAGCGAAAGAGAGACGAAGAATCGACCATATTGCGGCATATAGAGTACACAAGGTGGCCGTGAAAATAACCAATCTTTATTTTAAAAGAAGAAGAAAAAAAAGAAGGAACGAAAAGATAAAACATGTGATGCAACATGTGTATGAGTCTGGGTTCAGGAATCTCTCGGAGGAGGAACATTTTCTCAAACATCTTCTATTTTTAGGGCGGTGTGCTTCTTTTAACCCAACGAATTTCCGTAACGTATTAATATCATTCGTTCACGTAAGAGAGAGAGAGGAACGGAGACAGAGAAGGAAAAAGTATGCGCGGCACGTCGAGAGCGGCAACGGCATTGAAATTCAACTTGTTGCTTCGCGACGAGAGGGTGGAAATCATCATGGATGGAGGGTGGATGATGGTTGGCGGGAGATGAGAAAAAATGGCGTGCGAAAGTCGTGGGTCTCGAGACAGGTTTCAGAGGACACTTTTGATCTTGATCGGTGATTTTATTAACCCTTTGCTATTTTATCAACCCTTCCGTGGGTAAAAAGAAATTTCTCGTTTCTTTCTCTTGTAATTTGGCCCGACTTTAAGTCGGGCAGAATTGAAATTGAGCAAATTGAATTGAATAGATTGAGTAGTTTAATTTTCCTGTAATTTTGGAATTTGTGCAATATTTTGCTATATAATGATTTAATTTAAATCGGAGATAATATTTGAATTGTAATATTCGTTGAAAGAATTGGAATGGAATAGAGAAATTTGAAGAAATTTTCTTCTCCTGTTAATATATATATATATATATTTGTATCGAAGGGGTATTCGAAACGAGTTTGTTATTGTTTAAAGATTGGACTCTGGTATTTTGCAGAAATAAAATTGGAAAATAAACATTTCTCTATTTATACGCTATAAAGTTAAAAACAATAGCGCAAATGTCGAAAGTTATATTAACAGAAATGCAAGATGGATATTATTCTCTCTTATTCTCTTTTGGATTAATTAATTTTTCTACACTATTTCTATATAATAATCGTACTGTAAAATATTCCTTTTAATAAAAAAATGGAATCAAATATCATAGAATGCTTTAATCAGAAACATTTTCATAATTTGGAAGTTTGAATGGTAGATAAATGCTAGAATAATTTTATATTTCCATTCCAATTTTAATTCATTATCATTAATATTACTTTCAATATATAGCTACAAATATTTATAACCACGTTAAAAATTTCATCTTCAATAATTTAATCTTGATTAATCCTCCTTCCACTATCTGAATATAAATCCATAAAAATTCATCTAATAAAAAACTAGGAAAAAAAAATATATAGCTCTTTTATAATTTTCAATTCAACATTTCTTCGAATAATTCCAATGTATTCTTCCACCTAAATAACACAAAGCGAATTGAAATTATCAGGTCATTGATTATCATTGATATTTTCCTTGTCTACGAAGATCGTGTTTTACGAAACGAAACCATCGAATTGATGTTCGTGTGATATCCATTTATTGCGGAATAATAGGCGAAAGGAAAGGGAAGATACGCCATTGTAACGCGGTTATCTATCGCGAAATACCATCCGAATAAATTTTGTATTCAAACGTTGCCTTGACTAAATTTAACTCGCGAAAATTTGCTTGAAATCGAGATAAAACGAGCAATTCTATTTTTTACTGCGTTTGGATCGCATCAATGTCTGTGCGGATAGAACGAAGGAAGAAATGTTCGTCTCTGCATCGTTCTATTCCTCATCTGCGTTACGTGTGTAAATGGTGTAATAAAGAACATGGAATCGAATCGACAATCTTGTTTCGCTCCTTCTTGGTTTATTTAAATGAAAAGATCTTCTATTCTTTCTTTATCCCGAGGAGGAAGAGGAAGAAAGGACGCCAATTCTTTATCCGCTTTGAATGTGTATCAAGGATGATTCATAGTCTGAAAACGTGAAAGATGAAAGTTCAAGTACTGTTTCCATTACTTCATCGAATCGAATTTATTTCAGCAATTTTCACCAGAAATATGTAGTCTATTTTACAATCTCTTTCTTTCTTTACTTTCCTGTCCTTTACTCTTAATTTTCCATTCAAATTTCGTTCTTAAATTATACATTACGATTATATATATATATATATATATATATATATATATATA